CTCAGGTCGCTACACGCCCCAGCTGTGGTCGATGTGGATGGCATGACCAGTTTCCGAAAACCCACCAGGTGGTGGCCATCCACTTCATGATTTCAGGGGCGTGTAGCTCTCTGGAGAGCGGCCAAGTGCAGGTGGGTTGACCAGCTTCATCACAAAGAGCTCAAGGCGATCCAAGGGGAAGTCATATGAGATCATGCAATTGGATGGCCCCTGCCGTTCCCATGACCATCTCCGAAGACCCCTGCCGTTCGCATGGCCATCCACATCCACCACCTCCAACGACCGATCGACCGATCGACCCGAAGCTCTGGGCCAGCGAAGCGACCGAAAACACGCACCCGACCTGGCCCACTGAGACCCCGAGCCAGTTCCATACTTCGGTGTTCCGGCGGGACCTGCTGCCGGCGGAGTTCAAGCGGTGTTCGAGCGGGTGGTTTGGGGGGTCAATGTAGGCAATGTATTCATGTATATAACTCAATGTAATATTCCATATTATTGCATACATGGAGTGTCTGGGATATGTGTTTCCGCGAGGCTGAGTTTCAAAAGCCCGTTTCTGCTTACCAGACGACAGCGAAGGCCGCGGCAGGGCACAAACAGCAGCATGCATTTGCTGATTTTTGTCCTGCGCCACTTCAACAAAGAGACATCGCAAACCCAGCATATGGTGCATTGACGGACCAAATCAAGGCCTACCATCGTTCTATCTTGGTAGGAGATCTGCACAAGTCCTGGATTCGGGGAATCAACACACTCATCAAATTGGCCAAACATCCATGGCTGCACTACACAGCACTACGTACGGTACCTACGGTTTTCACATGGATCTTTGTCGCACGACCAGCGCTGCAAGCGCACCAAGGGAAAAGGGCGCAAATCGTCGATCTGACATGATCGACGGCATGGTGGGGGACCCTCGGCTCCACCTGTAAGACCCTTCAGAAGACCCTCAAGGAGGCAAACGTGTGGGAGAGAACGGATGAGGATCAGCAGTCGGATGGGGATCTGGAAGAGCAATCAGGAACCCTTCAACCTTGGCACCTTTGGCGTGCCAAGCTGCACGCAACCTTGACGCAAAAGGGACGACGGGATGATCCGGGGCCCTCCAAGACGGTGAACATATTTGTTCTCTGCTTTTCCTCTTTGTCGCCTTTTGTCCTTTCGTTCGCTTGGCCGCTTGGCATTGAGGGTTGTAATGATTTCTTCGTCTCAGCACTTCTTGGATGAGCGGCCTCGGCAGCTGGACTGATAGGGATGAACTCCATCTTGGCCAACAAGAGTGCCTCACCATTGTTTGGATTTGCTAATTAAAGACCAACAACATAGAACATACCACAAGGGCCAAAAGGGGATATTCGGGGATATTCACCATAGGAAAAGCTAACCTTAAGCAAAATCCCCTATTGGCATTGAGGCTACCAGCAAGGACCTTCGGCCGAAGCACTATATGGTGGCGGTGATCAGTCCAATGGACCTTGGGGGGATCACGACCCGGTATTCCAGGTGCCCAGGACGGTGGGCCAGGGCATGGCTCGGACTACGGATTGCTCCGTCTCCTGTCCGAATGGGAAGCGTGGGAAAGCATTACGATCTCAATATTCTCAATGCCCTGGTCACTCCTGTTCTCAGCGATCGCGGATCAGGCCTGTGAGGGTTTCTCAGCGGCTCAAAGAGATGGCTGCAAGTCAAAACGTGGGCCTACCTGGGAGGTCAAGCCACATGGCTCCAGGTTTTGACCCATCCCCAGATGCCAACAACAGGATGGTCATTGCGCAACCGTCAACAAGATGCAACCAACACATCTTCAACAGGAGTTGACGCGCCAAGGTGCCCGTTACCGTGAGATTGCTCCTTTGGCAGTGGACAGGGTGCAGCTCTTGTTGGATGACGGGACCCATTTCACACATGAGGCAAGCAAAGTGGCAAAGACCAGTTCAAAGCACCAGCCAGGCAGCGCAAAGCACCAGCCTTTGAGGATCTCAAGACCGTGCAAAATGATAGAGGGCACTGTTGTGAAGTTCGAGGCTAGGCTTTGTTTTGCAGATTTGAGCTAAATGGTGCAAGATGAGGGTAGCGCAACAAGACTCCTATGACCATTTGGTGAGCCTTCAGACTCACCAATGTGAAGAGCATGTCCGCATGCGGAGCCCCGAACAAGAAGGAGGTGGACAGCTGCCGTTCAGCAGCCGACCTCCTGGCTGCCGAGGGCAGAAGCACCATGAACCACCGATATAATCCCCCATATCAGGTGCTCAAGCCCTCCCCATCCTAGCCAGGGTAGGCCGACGGGGATCTATATAATTGAGTTGAAGAACAACTATTTGGCTTGCTTCACAAGTGCCTATAGGCTGCCCAAGCGCAAAACAGTCGCATGGCTTGGTACCAGCATCTTCCGGCCTTCACGATCCTTCACTGCTTCTGCTTGAAGCAGCCCATCCTGCGGCAACTGTGGACTCCTCCCAACTCATTAGCTGGATCAGGTCACGCAACTGGCCCAACTGACTCCCCAACTTCTCCTCAGTGTGAAGCCAAGCGATCTGCATCAGTTGATTCAGGCGTGTTGGCAACCTTATCCTCCAGAATTGGTCCTGGGTGATGACTCGACTCAACACCATCAGAACGACGCAAACGACGCTGTGACTGTACTGCGCCCTATGTGACGTTTTCTGCGCGCCTTGTACTTGCTATGTGGCTTCCTGCTTCAAGGGGTTGTCATCTGATTTGTTCTTGTCTCCGGTCTTGGGCGCGCAGTTCATTCCCTCATCTTCGCATATTGGCTGTCATGGTCGATGCATTGGCCGTTGCCGTGCATGCCACTGAAGCCTCCGGCTCAGAAACCAACAGAACCAGCACGCTCCTGCAAACCTCTGCGACCGTTTTCAGAGTAGCCTGGAATGCGACCGGCCTCAATGCTCAATTCAATTTGGTTAGCTTGGGGTGGTTGAAAAGGGGTCAATGTAGATCGATATTCCGTGCATGGAGTGCCTTGAGTATAGATAGCAAATCATTCTTTGTGTCAGCCGTTAGCATGATCATTCTTCCCTTGACCTAGGGACCTAGGGCCTCCAACAGGCTTGGAACGCCAAGACTGATTCTTTAACATGAACAAAATCCGTGGTGCGGCCATCAATGACCCAAGCAAACTCCGAAGCATCCCTCTTTTGGAGGATGCATATTCCACGCATACTTTCCATACCCCAGTCCATGAAAACGATTCAGACCTTACACTTACACTTACACCCCAACAACCTCTATATAAATGCAAGTCTCAGAATGGGACGTAAAATATGCCTACATCCCATGGGCCGTGTCTGGCATAGAAGTAATGACTTTCTCAAGCTCGGTGACATCTCAACCACATATGACTTGCACTCGAGAGCGGAAAAACAACTAGTTGGACGAAATCACCCGCAAACTGGTGAGCCATTGTGGGGTCTCTGACGCTCCAAAACTCAAAGCCCTATATGTATACTATTATGTGTACTATTAATACCTGCATAGTTATCATTAAGGTAAAATGAAGGCGCGTTTTTTGGGGTCGAGTTCATTTTCTCAACGCCAGCCACCGACCTTCGGCTCAGCCGACCGTGGGTGGAGACCGAGGATGTTGGATGACCGTTCTCCGAGGACGTTCTCCCCATGGTGAGGAAGCCCAGTCCCTTGCGATTTCCGGGGAATGCACTGGGAAGCTGAATTGGTTGGAGCAGAAAGCCACATGGCGTATCAAAACAGGTCTTGACCTCCCAGTTCGACCCCCTGGTTTGGTGGGACAAATGGGAAAACAAACCATGTCTATTTATTGGTGAGGAGATTTCCCTGCTAAAGTACCTCCCCCTACAGGTCCATTCCTCTTTTGACTGGGTCCGATCATGCAAAAGCAATACTCAATGAGGTCGGTCGGACCAGGTTTTAACTGGGTCCAACTGGACTTGTAGGCTGCCCAGCTGCCTCTTCCCCACTTCCCCGCTGCCTCGTCCCACTTGCTGGGTGGCATCGCCGGCGGTCTCACTCCACCACGGCCGACACTGGTGAACCCCCGAAAGAAGCGAGGTCCGAGTCACGTGAAGATCGACGGGTCTGTGGATTCAACGGGTCTGGGCGAACAAAATGCACACTCGGAACTCTTCTTATTAAAATTGATTAAACTATCGCGCTGGGCCCGAAGAGCACACAAACAACATAGGGGGGCAGCTGAAATCGAGACCTACCTGCAAGCGTCCTAGTTACTTGGTGGCCGGGATTTTTGAGACACCCCCACCCTTCCAAATCACGTTGAAACATTCCATGTGTATATTCTAAGTCAAGTTCAAGAGACTCAAAAGCATGGCCAAAATACTCCTTCTTAGGTTTGTGTTTTTTTTTGCTCGCCGGAAAAAAGCTGAGCCAAAAAACGGCCAATGGCGGAAGGAGGCGCCGGTCCGCCAAAGAAAGAGCGAGAGAGAAGACAAACAGACCGAGCATCAAAACGATGTATGATGATGTATGCAATGTTCAGAATATCGATAAGTTCCTTGCACTTGAGAGAGGAGGGGGTGAACGAAAGGTAGCAGGCAATCACAAGTAACCCTGGTAGAAGTCCATGACGGCGTGAACCGGCGCAGGGGGGATTTGATCCGCGGGGGGGCCCCCCCCCCGATGAACAGAATCAACTCTTACAGGACCAAACTCAATGCACAATCCCAACTCCTGATTGTAATACATTTTTGCTAAAGCAAGGAGAACTCAGGTAGCTCGAGCTACCTTTCGTGATTAAGAAAACCTGGAAGCGGACATGGTAAACTGCTGGCACGTCATGTCTTTCAGGGGGCATGTCTATATATCGTGTTATGTACTTCTTTTCAATTTGTTTCATTCTATGTCCCATGGACTCCATGTTTGCGAAGGGCGTCGCTGCATGCATTTTGTCTTTGGGTAATGACATGGCATGACTCATAATTACCCTAGGGCTCCAACTACCTCCTGAGAAGATGGTTGGGGTGGGTTTGGGGGGTCCACTTTGCCTCTCCCCATTGCTTCAGCTGCGCCATGTGGGCTTTCGCTTCAGCCGACCTGAGCTGCGAGCCTGGTCGGCACGACCGCCAGCACAAGCAGTGCCACGTGTCATGTTTATAGTGAAGGAAGTGGCAAGGCTTACATTGAGTTCTTTTTCTCAATTTGGTCCAATAAGGGTCACATAATATGGTCAATTAGTTTAGTTTCTCCTTCTCCTTCGATTTCTCAGGGGCATGTCTTTGGTTCAAATTGGTTCATTTCGTTCGCGTTCACCCTTTTTCTGCCGGATCTCCTGCAGTGCATGTCCCGTGTGCTCTGAGGGTGGTGACATCTTCAACTAACGGGGATCAGTCGACCCGACTCATCCAAATCAACTTGACCCTCCCGGTCACAATCCAGGGGACCTCTCCCTGAAACAATCATGGAAGTGGAACACAGGCCCCCCCAAAAGACCAATTTTCAATAATTTTCATCTACGTTTGGGGGGTTTGCTCAGCTTCCATGATTGTTTGAGGGAGGGTGCATTTACCCCATGGATGGCCCATCCATGTAGGTACACTCTGACGAACACATCACATGGAAGTGGATATAAGTGGATGGCATGGTCCCGGTTCCAGACAACTTTCCTTTAGGAACAGGTGACCTCCACGTAACCATGTGATGTGTTCGTGAGGCTGTCTTCTATGTACTTCTTCCAGTCCCAGTGCCGGGCGCTGAGCTCCACAGAGCCGATCGGAAGCGCGGCCGATCGGAAGGACTGAAGGGACGATCCGACGCCACAACGAGTCATAGCCGGTGAAGAATGGTAGGGTTTGTTGAAAAGGCATTCGATAGAAACTCAATCACTGGGATGCCATTCCAGTCAAATGAGTCCTGGGATGCCACTGAGTCAAATGAGTCATTCAAATACAAATCAGTGAAACGAGTGGATGTGAGTGGCCATTCTCGCTCAAATGCCAAATGCCACAGAATCAAGTGCAAATACGTTCTTCCACCAGCAGCTAAGCCTCCAGGGGCTGTCACAGCTCAATATTTCTCTCATGGATGCTACGACTCACAAAGGTGACTTGGCTTCGCTGAGCATCAATGGTGCTCAAAAACAGGGCGGGGGTTCTAGTCACTCAAGGATCCATTTTGGGGTTCCCTTCCCTGGGCTTGCTACGAGCCTACTCAGCCAGCTACAGTAACTCAAGCACGGGTAGCTTCCAGACAGGGCTTCCGACCGCCTCCACAGCGCCAGCAGCGCGTCCGCACCCGCGCGGCGCCATGCGCCATGTGCTCGCACGACTGGCGCCATCCGGTCGTGCGACCAGGTTTGGACGCAGTAAACATCCAAAGAGGTTCCTGTCAAACGGTTCTCTAGATCCAAGCCGTGTTGCTTCCTTCAAAAGAAACTGCAGCCCGGGCCCGAAGCATCACTTGTTTGTTGGGGGTCATCAGTCATCATGATACCTTGCGCCTCCTTGTTTCCACTTTGGAGATCTAAGGTGCTCAGGCATTCACTTGGGTGCTAAAAGATTTAAAAGTATTCAACTCCATGACCTTCAGGGTTGGCGGTTTTGAGCTTTAAACAAACGCAGGGTCTACACACTCCCGCTCAGTACACATGGAAACGGATGGCATGGCCACTGTGACGAGCATGTTTCTTTACAAACAGGTGGTGAACTCCACTTCCATGTAAGGGCACGCTCCCTGAAACAATCTATAGAACAATATAGAACAGTTGGCATTAGTTCACCCCTTGGTTTCGACCACTTGCCTTTACAAAACAGCCCATGTTCCACAATAAGGTGAGTCAAAGGGTAGGGCTTGAGGACCTCTTTGTCTGGCGCATGCAGCATCATGAAACCCCTCATGGTCCACCGAAGCCGCCGAACGCGGACTTGGCCCGTCGAAGGCGGTCGGCGTCCATGCAGACTTGGCGAGCCAAACGTCGGCGGAAGACGGCAATGCGATATGCCAGGGGACCAATCGATGCAAATCTAAGGATCTGCAAAGTTCCCGGAAAATGGTGCTGGAGCTGCTGGGGTGATTGATCAAATATGCAAATTTATTATGAAGACAATGTGTTATTTCAAAACTAAATTCTATAGACTATATATAGATTCTATTTCTAGAACCGCCGAGATATGTTTATATGTCAGCTGCTACATGTTCAGTGCCAACCATGGCAGTCCTACGGACTCTCGCCATCTCCCAAACGTCCATTGGAGGTCCAGCAGCCCCTACCTGTGTGGTCCAAATCCCCGAAAGCACTGTGGCCCAGTTAACCAGGAGTCACATGGAGTTGGGTGGTGTGAAACGTCCCGTCCAGGGGCTGTGGATGTGACAGGGGCACCCCTGGCCCTAACCTCCATGATCGCATCCGGTCTTGTGACTGCAGGAAGCCTTTATGTTTTTTTCGGGGGGGGGCGTGGCCCAGCTTCATCTTGCCAGCTTCTTGGCGCCAACACCCTCGACCCCTCGGACCAGGGGACTCTTTAAGATTCGAACCCCCGAATAAAGTCCCACAAACAAACTACATGAAACTACCCTCCCTCCATCAATCATGGAAGTAGATCACCCCTTGTTGGTAGAGGAAAGTCGTCTTCCCAGGGGCCATTTGCTACTATTGTTGGAGGCGGGGTACGCATCAAGAAAAAGAACCTGAACCAAGCCGCTTGGAAGTTTGACCACCAACCACCCACATCAGCCTTCGAGGTCTTTTTCTGGAAGTGCCAAAGTCCAAACCGCTACAGCATCGATTCCGGCTACTTGGAAACACAGATTCTCGCAAGTGCTCTAGAAGGGGATGATGTCAATATATATAGACACATGCATACACAAAATCATCAACCTCAACAAGGCCAAATGCTCCATAGTGACGGACACATACTTAGAACCCCATGATGTTTTTTTCAAAGTGATGAAATTTCCACACTAAGAACCCTTTGGCCCTGTGAATGCTTAGAACTTAGAACCATCCAACAATTGCAGGCCAAGAATACTTTGAACCTCCAAAATAATACCTGGTTCATAAGTATGAGTCCGTCACTTTTTTGCATATATAATGCAGGCAGGAGTATCAGCATCACTGCCTATCAGCACCACTACCGGCCGAACCCGTTCCAGCCGAAATGCCTTTCACGATTTATGTGGTTCCAAGTGCCACACTAAGAACCCCCTTCCATTGCAGGCACTGTTCCAACTGCTCAGGGTTCTAAGCATGCCTCTCCAACTGCTGGAGGTTCTAAGTATGGTACGCTTAGAACCATTTGTGCAGGCGTTTATATTTGTCGATTTGTCACAATTATTTTTTCAACAAAGGTTGTAAGTATGAGTCCGGCACTATAGATTCCCACCATGTTGCTGAAAACACCTGACCATGAACCAACACGCCAACACGCCGCGCGAAAAACGCGAACGATCGGTGGCAATCGCCTGGGCGGTGTTTCGCCGCGTGCCCAAGACAGGGAAGTGAAGTCTGCCGTGCCGGGTCCGGTGCGGTTCCGATGGGGGAAAAAAGCCATCTCCCCTGCTGTCCACAGGTTTGCCACAAGGGTTTTAGCCTGTAGTGGTTTAGTAAGAAATCCCTTCTAAACCCAAGGACTAAGGGTCTAAGAGTAGGCCTTTTCAAACAGTCAAGCCAGTGTGGCACTCTTGGAAGCATGCTAAGGCATCGGTATGGGTCAATCCTCAAATCGATCATAACCCACCTCCCGTCCCTCTCTCTCTCTCTCTCGGCATCACCTGGTAGACATTTCTCAACTTATAGACCCTCCAAACAAAGACCCACCCAGTTTCGCAAGCACCCAGACCATCCATGTACGGCATGTATTTACATGAATTTACCTACATTGGGGTGGTGAAAATGGGGTCCACGTAGGCACAAAGAAAGTCCCATGGACGGTCTGGGTGATCTTTCTGTAACCCATCCATCCGGTGAATCACCGCTCAACCTGTGTTTTTCCCAGAGACCCTCTGCACACATCTCTGTACAAACATGTACAAACCATGAGACCTCCTTCTGCAAGAAGAATCAGCTCTGAAGAAGGCCATCACTTGCAAAGGCCATCAGAACACAAGCTCTCTCTGTCTCTCTCTCTCTCTCTACATTCCCTGGAAGAGCACGATGATGGCATGCCACAGATGGCACGGGCCAAAAAAAACCGTGAAAGAGGACCACCTCCGGTGTTGGACCAATTGAAATCGGTGAAGAATCGAACATCGAACCGAACCTGAAAACGACGGACATCCACGGCCGGGTGAAGAAACACATCTTCTAGTCCCTATAGTGGCGTCTTCTTGTTCGTAAGGCCAGGCGCCCGCGTTCGTGGCGACCGATCGCTCCGTTCGTAGCGATGCCAGCCCCACTCACCCTGATTCTTCGCTTTGAGATTCTCAAGCTCTTAATGTATGGCATGCTTACTCTGACCATTTAGTTAGGTGCAGTGTATGTTACAAGTCTAACAATGCAACATACATTCCAACCCCATCAAGTGCCAAGTCACCTTCCAATCCTCACGTATACTTTCAAACTTCCCATCCAATCAGGGGGTTCATCTTCAACTCATCCCGGATCATCCTTCAAGTTCAGTGGTGTACCGCTGCGGGGGCCGCAAGGGCGGCCTGAGCAGTTCGTAGCCGCTGAACTTCTCCAGCAGCGCCTTTCGTTCATGCGGTCACTGCAGGGGGGGGTTGCAGGGTTGATGACGAACTGACGAAATCACTTGGGTTTTTCTCCTATGGTCAGTCACATCTGACCGTGGAGGATGACGGTCAATGATGCCTTTCCCAAAACATGTGATAACTTTTTACCGACTGTTGCTGGTAATGGGCTATATACATCCTAGAAATGAAAAACAAGGTCCTCCAGGCTCCCGTGGTTGGAGCTGGGACTGGTCAATGGATAAGCAGGGAACACACGCAGACTACCTGGCGGTTGCAGAGTTTGGAGCCAAAGTGATGTACATATATATATATATATAGATGGTGGATCGAGTTGCACTTTAGATTACTAGGCTGAAACGCTTGTTGGGTGAGAAGAATAATGGAACTGCAACTTACAGCACGTGTTCTCAGCTCCCGCCAATGGCTCAAGAAGGTGGGACATTAGCATCTACGGCAAACCTGGTGAACATGAAAAGCTACAACTAACAAAGAAATCATGGCTCTTGACTCTTGAGCAAAAGAACACGTGACCACCCAATGGATTACCCCAATGGATGCACGCAACAAACGCGAGTCTCCAGCCGGCTTCCCGTTTCGGCCTCTGCGCTGAGGCTCGCGTCCACCTTACACCTGCGGCGCCGCTCGGCACGGGGCGCCAAGCCGACGCAGCGGAGCGGCCGGGGGCGGGCGACTCGGCGTAGACCGTCCAAGGCGTGAAAGGAAGCGACTCGGAGTAGACCGCCCAAGTGTTTAACAGTGCACGGATCTGCGATCTGCATGGCACACACACCTTGACTCTGACTTACTAAGATTAGATGGAAGTGGCTGTCATGGCCCTGAAAGGAAACGATGACTTTCCTTTCTGGGGTGAACTCCACTTCCCCTATATAGTGAGCTTCGTTGCACACCGTGCGCACCCAAGTTCGGCGCATCTCACTGAGTTGGCCCGCTTCCGCGGGACATCCAGGGCTTTTCCCAATCCAGGACACCCTCAAGAATGAGGCGACAGATCCGGCGTGAAGAACATGGGTGTCGTAGCTGAGCTCAAACAGTGAAACCTCCCAGATCGATTTGCTGGGAAGCCTGGAAGGTTCAGAACACTTGTTTCTTTTTCCCTCATGACCCGTCTACCATCGTCTACCCTTTGGTGAGCAAGACCAATCGCTCAACACAACGGTCACCCCGGTCCTCAAACCCCCTGAACCCACCCGAAGGGACCAGCGAGTGGTGGCAAACGGTTTTGGGCCACCGGTTTGGGTCCGATCAAGCAGTGTACCAGCATGAGGTCAGTTGTATTTATATAATATATTTATATGAGAACAAATGGACCCTGGGATACCTATGGGATCCTATGGGATAGTCTATAAACTACAGTATATGCTGCGGCTATAGGGTTCTTCAACCTCGGTAGTTCAAGCATGGACGCCACGAAGCTCTCGATGGAGCTTTGCGTCGAATCCTTGTTCTGACAAACCGCCACAGAAGTGCGAACCCCCCAAGAGGTGTCGTTTTAATAGCCCATTAGAGCCTCTTAGAGGTGCCATGGGATGTCTACCAATAATAGGGTTCTTTTCTTTTATGGATTTTATGTTTTTGCTTTTTGTGTCTTTTTATTGCCGTGTCACTGTTTAAAGTTCCAGGCTTCGGGAGGCATGTTCGCGTCCAGCGGAGGCGCAGCTGGGATTCGTCCGGGACGATTGGGATGACCATGTAGCTGTTACATGAGAGGCTAGAAACTGCATTCAAGAACCTCAATGCTGTAACGAACATTAACGAACTAACGTTCAAACACCAAACAATAAAAATACAAACCTAATGATTCTTGCGGGGGCTTCATGTCAGGCAGTTCCTCTTTGGACCAAACACTCACCCCCACCAGCCCCTTCAGTTCAGCAACTCCACTTCAGTTGAAACGACCGGTTTCAACGCCCGGAAGTCTCCCTCTTCCACGGTCCCAGTGGCTTTGTCCCACCGAGGTCCTTCCCACTCCGAGCTCCCCGAGCTTCAGGAACCAGCTGCGATGAGCTTTGGGCCCACACACCTGAGGAGTGGCCGAAAGGAACGAGGGATCCGAGGTTCCTCCAACCTGGGAGGAAGATCGGATCGTACGATTTCAGGCGCGGAGGCCCTGACGGTTCACATGGACCCGTGTCTGACCATCAAACGAGGTGCCATGGGGTATCATGGGGTGCCAATTTAACCACCTCTGCTGGGGGACATATAGACATACAAACAGATGTTACACTTCCCTAGGCCTCCAAGTAACTCCTCAGAAGGTATGACTGGACCCTCCAAACCCACCCCAAGCATCTTCTCAGAAGGGACTTGGAGGCCTAGGGCTTTACAATGTCAAGGAGGTTGTCGAGCACGTTCGTAAACCGCACAACACTAATCTCCATGTTTATGACTTTTGACATGCATCATGCATTGGACTCGTGAAATGGTGGAGCATCCTCGGACTGAGGTTTCAGCCAGTTAGCCAACATTTCCAACCCAAATGTCATGTGGCAGGGTGTTTTCGAAAACGCTCTAAACAATCTCAGTTTGTAGAGCGCAAACTGAGAATGCTTTGCTGAATGGTAAGTGGTGCCACAAGTGCTGAGACACTCAACAAAAGTGAAGATCGGAAGCAAGCTCTGAAGCAACATCAGCCTCGTAGATGCCACACCACAAATCAACCCCCCCCGAAGCTACTCCCTTATCTCTTCGGAACTGAACATCACGATTCACGATTGAACCTTGGTCCACATTTATTTAAAAAACAAAAAACTCAAAATATATCAACATATCAAAATCGTTATAGTTTGCATACTATTGCAATGCACTAATGCCCAAACACACCCAGAAACAAATCAACCACACCCAACCGTCTTCGTGCGCCCGAGTTCCTCTCCCTGACCCCCGGAGTGTCCGGGCATCCGTGAGCTTCGCGGAGGCCAAGTGCGAGGAGGCATGGCGCATCCTGAGCTGCTCGGCTGGCTGGCGAGGCCAGGGAGGGTGGCTGGCTGGATCAGGCTGGATCGTGAGCACAGTAGTTTCAGAGGTTCGATGGCACTGGCACATAAGAGGTGTCCTTTTTTTTTTGGGGTATGGGGCTCCATATGATACCACCGACATTGGGGATTGTGCCATCTACTCTGAAACCAGTGTACTTACTTGAACATCCTCACTTCCAGTCATCTCAAAATTAGTAGGGGCATGTGGGGGCCAAGGGCAAACACGGTCGGAGTCCAATTCCATACTTGGCGGAGGACCCTATCATATACGCACCTGGACGAAACATCGACTCCCGATCAGTTTGGGGATTCTAAGAAATCGAGAAAAAACGGATCCAAAACCAAAAACCACCTAAACATACCTAAACCATCATTGCAGTTTCAAGTCCTTGCAGGCCCCAAGGATCATTCTTGGGCCTTGTTTTTTTCAGGGCATCTAAACATCGAGCTCTGGACCGATGCAAAAGTGGGAAGCAATCGGTGGAAAATCTCACAAAATGGTTGGCCAACTCCTGCCATGGGCGCGGCGAGAACGAACTGAACTCCATCAGACTGGATGCTTTCGGTGAAGCGCTTTCGGCACTCCGAGCTCGTTATGAACGTTCACACGTCTCAGCTGGGAACATGGTCCCTCCCACATGTCCATCTTAGCCGTGCCAAACACACAAGATGTTGAAGCATGTTGAAACCAAAAACCGATGTCTCACAGACTGTCTGGACCAAACACCCCGTTTCTGTCGACGGAGTCGAACGACCGACGGAGTCTCACGTCGTCACGGAGTCTCACGGCGCGTGGACCGAGTCGACTCGGCCCAGTGGCGCTCGTAGGATCCGCTTGCGTCCTGCGGTCCCGGTCGCGGTCCGGATGGAAAAAACATCCGAACACATCTGTGCCGGTCGCGTTAGGAGATGCGTCCGAGTTTCGATGTATTTATATTATACCAGGACCACTACCAGGACCCACAAGGGGTGGTTGAAGGACACCCCTTAACATCTATAAGGGGCTATCAATAGATGCCCCTTAGGGTGTCCTGGTAGAGGTCCCCCCAAAAAAATAGATAGTGCCACGGTGTCCAATACATTTGAATGCAGGGAGCTAGTCTTCTATCTTTGTTGGGGGTCTATACAAATGCCTTTAACCGAGCACCACCGCGCCCGTGTTTCTTTAGTCCATGAACCGCCTCGGTAGCCAATAGACCCCATGATCCCATGACCCAGTGGTTTCCAACGTGCTTTTCACTCCATGGATTTGCAAACCGTTTCTTTTTCTGTCAAATGTGGTCCACGATGTGTGCTTCTTCAAGTCACTTTCCACATGTTTCTTCAGATGCCGAGGGAGTTGCCGCTTCGTTTCGTTCGTCAGGTCCACGGATGGTCCGGAACGAGGAGTCGAACCGGTGTTTCGTCGAGTATGTCGAGTCCGGTGTGGAGGTGGGTGGGAAATCGGATGAAATCGGTCGAAGCTCACGACATGTGATCATTGTATGTGTTTTCTGTGTGTGTGTGTGTTGCTTGGGACCTATCCACAAAAACATCATCCTCGCCAAAGCTTCACACATTTGCTTTCGTGGAAAGTCAGCAAGTTCCACCTTTGCATGATCTTTCTTCAATTGAACACACAAAACATTGCTCATGTGTTGAGTCTATGTGAGTCTGCACAAGATGTTCCTGCACAAGATGTTCCTGCACGGTACAAAACACCGATGAATGTTGTATCGAAATGAAGGGGCATGCGTGTTAGTATGGCAGGAGAACATCTGGATACTATATAATATATGAGTGTGTCAAAATTACAGGGGGGGGACCTTGGTTGACCACCCCAAATAAACAAAAGACACGACCAGGGAATGTCAACCCTCATGTCCAACTTGAGAGGAGGGAGACACGAAAGGTAGGACAGCGGGAAGAGAAGAGAACGCGAGAGGCAGGAACAAAAATGCAATGTTCGACATGGTGATTAACCCCCTCGGAGGCGACCTTTCGTAAATATATGTTCATATGCACTTTAAATGTTCAAACATGTGCTCTCGAAATGTTCAAAAAGATTCTTAGGAAAAACCTGCCCCATGGCTCAGATCATCGGTGAGCATTGAATCGGAACATCATAGGATTTGAACTATCCTGAAACCATAAGAGGCTCACGAAGACGCTCCCCAGGAGAGAATTGACGTGCTTCACAAAACGTATCCCCTCGGGGAACACCTTTCGTGATTAGAATTTCATATTCACTCTTTCTAAATGTTCAAGAGGGTTTCAACTATCCTGAAATCATGAGAGGCTCACG